TCGACATATGCATAATGTTTTGACTCATTAGAGAGACAGAAGATCACGTTGGGAAACGTGAATGTGCGTGTCTCTCCCTCTTCCTCTCTTTTTTACTCTAAGCTTGGCCTGTTATGTTAATATCTTTATGTATATGTATTTTGTGTAATCGGTTATTTTCGTTATCACGGATTTCTTTAAAGTACAATCGGCCGTGCGCATGAATAAGTTCGAAATGTTGTCAACGTTCTTCTTTACCCTCTTATTGCGGTTTCATTTTTTTTTTTTTTTTTTAGAAAAACTCCCTCGTGCGCTACTTTTTTCAGTGTTCACTTCACGATTTGCGCGCAGTGTTCCCCGCGGCGAGTTTCACCGATCGAATTGTACGGAACCGTCGTTGAAATTTCTGATTTAACGTAAATTAAACCGAAGGAGAAGTGCATACAAGAACCGACTATTTATTACAAATTACCTCCAGTTTTGAGCTTAAACGTTTGCTGAAAATTATTTAATTTTCATTGTTTAATTTAAAACGTTTAATTTCTTGTATATCATAAATTACTATTTGCGAATGTATTTTTCATATTGCGAATATTATTGTGTGCTGTACACTCTTTAGTTAAACTATAAGTCCAGTTTTTAATGTTTTCTGTCTCGTAGAGAGATAAAATGTGAAAGACAGATTAATTTTAATGGCTAAAATGTATACGAAATATACATGACTAAAGATTTTTAAAAGTAAAACTGCAGTTTTACCCAGAAAATAAAAAAAAAGAAAATAATGGAATCCGAAAAATTATATATTATAACTGTGCTATCTGTTTTTATTCAAGTGTGTACTAGTTTTTGTGATAATAAATCGCTAATATATTATTTGTGAAACAGACGAGAAATATATTCTGGACATTGACATTTATCCGATCAAAAAAAAATTTTGCTTTTGATAACGAGCGAAACATGTAAATAAGAACAAATGTTCACAACAAATATGAATTAATATCGAGATATGAATCCCTAATTAAAAAACAATTATAGCGCGATCAGTGTGAAGTGTGTCAGTAGTAATAAAATGAACGAGTGAAAAAGATAAAAGCACTATTTTCCTTTCAATTATATTTCTTTCGATAAAGACAAATCAAAGTTTGCAAAGCTCTAGAGAAATGTATGCTGATTTTTCGATGTCTGTGCGTAAATAACCGCTGCAATTTTCACAAAAATTGAGCATCTTTAACGATATTTTAAATACGGTAAACGCTAAAGCAGTAAAGTCCCAGTGCTTGACGCATATAAAACAATTAAGTTGTCATAACAATTATAAGTTGTAACGATTATGTAGCTTGCGAAGCAAGAATGAAGTAGTCCATAATCTGCAGGTTCTTTAGTGATTTCGTATTTAAAGTGGAGCTCACGAACGTACTTATTCCAGTTTCGTTACGCTATGATTTTCATCATAAACTCACTTATCGTTCACTGGGTTTGACGCGACCTTATCATTTACCGTATCCAAAATGCTATTGCAAAAAGCTTCTACGGAACAAGAATATTTTTGTTGCAGACGCATGTGTGTATACGAAGGCATACGGATCGATGTTTCGAGTATGACTCAAGTTTAAATGAGCGTTAATGTCTATAACAAACTTACTTGCGCGCTTTCCTTTTTTTCGCCGCAAGAACGAATAAAGATATCCTAAAAAGGGCACGTGGGTAAGTGTTAAAATTATTTCAACGTTAATAATAATACTCATAAATATTACGAACGGCCACCGGAAGAGACCCCGCCATTCCCGGCGTTCAATATTTTCCCCATTCGCCATCTTTTTCTTTATAACTTCGCGTTTTACGTAATAAACGAGAGAAGGAAAGTAAAAATAATAAGAACAACAAAAACAACAGTGAACAACCACCACGATTATATCGTCGTCGTTATTTCATCCTCGCGATATATATAAGTAGATTTTCTTTCGTCATAATAATTTAATGAGTTTATTAACGCGACGCCTCACGACGCGATTACCCCCCTCCTCCCCTTTCCTTTTCTTTTTTTTTTTAATATTGTATATTGGAGAGTATAATATAATTGCGGTTCCTCAATATAATATAATATACCTTCCTAAAAATACGGTCAAATCACTGCCGCGAGCAGCAATTCCGAGGCACTACGAACAGGCCACAGAGAATATGGCCGCGCAATTATCATCTTCAGATCTCTGTGTCTCTAAATGACAAAAGACTAACTGTAGAACACCTAATATGTACGTAATCATAATTATACTAACGCATCTCGTCGTCTAGGTTTTAGACTCATTACGTAATGTACAATAATTAGAGAGATCACACACGTCTTAATATAGAAATTTTAAAAGATTATTCTCTAATACGTTGAAGCCTTCTTCCCCCTCTCCTTTCCCATTTTTGCTCTTCATTTAAGTATTGCCACGAATTGTTTTTCTTTTTCTTTTCCTTTCCGTTTTTTTCCCTTATTTTTTTTAAAAAAAGAGTGATGATGATAATTCTCCGAGATGTGAGCGGACCCCGTACGAGCGCGGTCCTTCAAAGTCTTTTCTTTACTTTGAGCTACGCTATCGTCTACGCTACTTAAACGCTAACTTCTACGGTGTCTCAGCCTTCTTCCACGTTCCCTCCTCTTGTTTTTCGTACTCGCTTACCTAGTTTTCTTTTATCAGCACCAATCTGATTTTAAAACCGATTCAAAATATCGTCATATAGTTAGAATATAATATAACCTGTATAAATATACATTCAAATATTACTATAGTATACAAGAATCGCACCCCCCTCCCCTCACCCCTTTTTCCGTTTCTCCTCTCCTTCATGCTATCGCGGATCATTGTCGTCATTCGCGACTCGATCTACCGAAAGCTATGGCTCAGCATAGTGGGAGGATGCGCCGTTCTCGTAAATTCTACCTATAATTTCTCGTATCTTCCTCTTTTCTGCTCGTCATATCTCCCCTCCCCCGCCTTTCCGCCCCAATCCCCTATGTCATCTTCCTCCTACCCTCTTACTCAGTCGTACTTTTTACTTTTTCGTCTCATTCACACCTAGTCTCTCATTCGCACACGCTCGCATACTTCACCTTTCTCCGTTGTCTGTTTTCCTCCTCGTTCTTCTTCTTCTTCTTCCTCTTTTGTTTGGAGTGAACGGCTTTACATATTTACAGGTATTCTTCTTGTGGTCGTGTAAGCGCTCCCTTCAAGAAGCACATTCTCTCTCTCTCTCTCTCTCTCTC